TGTATCCGTTGCAATCAATATAACCAAAGTCCATTGTAGTGTTCTCGCAGAGTTTTGGCAAAGCAATGACGCGCATGCATCTACATTATCACTCTACTTACAGTTCTTCCGCCTCCGTTGAATTCGTGAGGCAGAATTGGCTGATTCGTCGGAAAATATGATATATGACCTACACATATGCCATGTAATGTACCTACTAGTAAAAATTCGTACACCTCACAGGATGGTGCACAGAGCCACATCTCAGTAGATTCGAAGGCCCATTGTGAGTTGTCTCGTTCGGCTCGTCCCGGCACACTTGCCGAACGGCAATTGGCTCCTTGAAGTATCGCGTGAGGTATCTTGAGCAACCAGTTGGATAAGAATCATTGAATATCATGGAGGTATTCGACTCCATCATACACAAATGTACTAAGAGATAGTGCAATGCAAGTAGTCCTGGAAATTTCAACAGCGTTCATGTCTTCAAGTCAAAAGGCTCGTCTTGGAATCTAATGAATCATACTTCAGAATTTCGATAGTTATAAAATTCCCTGAGAAGCTCCGTTTGTGAACAATTACGTCTTCGAGTAACAGCTCACAAAAATTTTGGTACTATATTGAGAAAAAGTAGCGGTGTAAATCACAACTCTGTCTTCGACTTCACAGTATCCAAAGAAATCAAATTATCTGAAAAGTCAGTCACTAATAAGGTTGTTACTGTCAGTCTCGAGGCCTAGCCAAACCTGCAAACAATGACCACAATCAATTTAGAGTTGGTCATGTACTTGGAATTGATTTAGATAAACCGAAAGCGCTCAAAAGTGTCTTTCTCGCTCCTTTTGTGATCTTGCATCTGTGTGCACCTTCATGTGTTGGGAAAAACACAAAAGTATGGTCGGCTCTACATGAACGGGGAAACCAGGTAGAACAGGAAAGCCAGGTAGAATCAAGGAAAACCCACACTAGTGTATGAATTGTTCCTCAATAAGGTAATGTTGGGTGGTGGGGATGTTTTGGAATTTTTCATTGAGAGGTTCTATTCAAAGGTGCTGTAGCCAGCATGAAAGCTCACAATGGAAAATTTCAAAACACCCTCACAATTCACTCAACATTACCTTGTTGTGGAACATTCATACACTGGTGTAGGTTTTCCTTCTTAGTTTTAAAGGTGCTGCAGTGAGCAATTAGATCTTGTGGCGAGTCTCAAGGGGCGACTGAGACAACATAGATTTTCTACACGACAACACCAAGTCTATGTCTCAAAATTCACCACTCGAATCGCGAACTGATTCACTAATTGTAGTGGTGCCGAGCTTTTCCAGTTGATTCGTTTTCTCCGTTTTAATTCCAGGTTTGATGGAGAGGTGCAGTGATCTGCAAGCTATACCACAAAGCGATTTGGAGCGCGTGCTCGGAAAAAAAGTCGGCGATCAGGTGAAGGCGTTAGAGCATGCATACCATTAAACCTGTTATTCTCACGGAAGTAATTTCAGCTGTACAAAATGTGCCGTGGTTTAGATGACGGCAAGAACTTCGTGGCTGCTAGTACTCGTAAGAGTGTATCTTGCGACATTAACTATGGTATTCGTTTCACAAAGGTATTCTTTCGAGCTCCATGAAATGATGGAAGGCTGCTTAGGGACAGCCTACTTGAATTCATCCATTGGGAATGTGTGCAATGTCTGAACTGTGCGCAATGAAATATGTTTTCGGGAGGGAAACATTTGGGTCACATATCTACTTTTTTTGAATTCGACTATGGCCCATATGTATACGCCCGGGTTAGGG